GGCCCACGTAGCGGAGCTGCTGGGAACCAAATATGCAAATTTTCAACACCGTTACACGGACGGCTCTAAGGCCGTGGGGAAGGTTGGATTCGGAGTAGCGGATGTATCCAATAGCTACTTCTTTCGACTACCCGATCAGTGCTCCGTCTTCTCGGCGGAGGCTGCGGCCATCCACTTCGCCACCACGACACCCGCCAATAAACCCATATGTGTCCTAACAGACTCCGCCAGCGTTTTATACGCCTTGAATTCAGCAACATCCAGACACCCCTGGATACAAGGGATCCAAAAGGCCGCGCCGCCAAACACCTCATTTGTTTGGGTACCCGGCCATTGCGGTATCCGGGGCAACTGTGAAGCAGATCATCTCGCTGCCACAGGTCGCTCCGGCCGGATGGCCACCACAGTTGTACCCAGTCAGGACGTAAAAAAATGGGTGAAAGCATCCCTCCGAGACGCCTGGGCCCGGGAGTGGTTCGCAAAAAGGGGACCGTTCCTGAGAAAAATAAAGGACGACACCTCCAAATGGAATGACATTACGAGCCGATGGGAACAACAGGTCTTATCCCGGCTTCGATCCGGACACACCCGAGTGACCCACAACATGGGTAGTGCTGCCTCTTTTCGGAAGTTTTGCGACTCCTGCAACACGATCATGACAGTCGAACACCTGATTGTTAACTGTCCCTGCTTCCATAACATCCGGCTCCTCTATGGAATACCGAACAGCATACGTAACGCCCTCTCTAACGACCCGTCCACGGAAGCAGCCCTAATAGTTTTCCTAAAAGATGCTGGACTGTTCGATAAAATATAATCAATCTATACAAAATGACTACACTTCGAACATGGACACCACTGGAGTAAGCCTGGATATCACATGACGATTACCTGACTGCCTTCGACAACGACCACCGCCATTCACACCATGATCCGCCAACCACGCTAAGAACCAAGACAGGAACTATAATGAACTCTGCTTAAAAATACTCTGTACTAAGGGGACTCCCTTCTGGAGCTCCACCAACCTCTAGGAGAACCCCTTCTGGGTTCTCCAAAATCTCAACTATGTAATTAGGGAAGCCCCCTTCTGGGGCTCCCGGAGATGAACCAGCCTGCGGCTGAAAATCTCCTAAATAGAGATAATAATAATATTTTTTTCAAAATAAGCCTGGCATCGCTGGTTACATGTGTGGATGTGAGTACAAGAAAAAATTGTATGATGGTTTCTGTATTCTTCGAAGGTTGTCTTAATGCCAGAGGGGCGTTTAAGTAAAGCCCTACAGTAAAAGTATGGACGTCTGTCAAAAGTTGTTCCAATCGAACCGTCAAAATGCACCGCTTTGCTCGATTGGAACAGCTTTTTTCAGTTTTGTGGTGACAGTCGTCCATACTTTTACTGTAGGGCTTTACGTTTAAGTACCAACAAAAGCATTTGATTGAATTGACATACCCATGCTTCTCTTTAAACATCAAAAAATGGGAATTCATTCCAAACTCTTCAAATGGTTTGACTCATATTTAACTAATTGCCATCAAATAGTAAAATACAAAGGAAGACATTCCGTTGATGTCACTTCGGGGTTCCTCAAGGCTCCCATTTAGGACCCTTTTTATTTATTCTATTCGTCAATTTGAAAAAAAATGTGCCGAAGACATTAACACATTCAAAAAGGAAACACAGCTAGTTCATACTTGGTGTCACAAAAGCCTGTTACAATTAAATGTAAACAAATGTATCTCAATTACCTTTAGTAGAAAACGAAACATATCCATTATAACAATATTACTTCAGGAAACCAGAACGTAGAAAAGTGTGATAGAGTTAGGGATCTAGGTGTTACCTTAGACTCAAAGCTTTCTTTCACCGATCTTTATAACACAATTATTAACAGAGCTAACAACATTGTACATTTCATATGTAAAGTAGATATTAGAATATTGCACAATAGTTTGGTGTCCTTTTTCAAACACACGCGAAGAAATAATAGAGTCCGTACAAAATCAGTTTATATTGTATTTCTTCTGCCATCTTAGACAGCTCTATTTATGCTCTTAAATATCCAAAGAGCGTCGAGAATTTGCTATGATTTCATTCGTAAACGATATTGTTTCACATCGCATTGATTTAATAGAGATTGCTAAAGTGTAATTGTGTCAGTGACTTGTTTTCATCAGGAAAATTTTTCGCTATGATTTTTTTTTTCCCGATGAAAACATTTTGCGTATACGTATACGTGACGTACACAGCAAAAAAATGTAATATCGATCAATGTAATTCAAGCTGATGTATGAAATACTGATGTAATAGCAAAAAGCAGATACGTGCATCGTTCTAAAGTTCTCAGCTGCAACACTTGGAAGCTAAATTGCAGGAATATTGATGTTCTCCGCTATATGAAGCTTGATCTGCAGCTCATAACTGTCCATAATCGGCAAACAAATGTGGAGTCCTTTTTGATTGGGTCGTATGTAACAAATGTAAACAAATTGACATTTTAATGCTACCAGCAGGGTTGCTTAAGGTTCAATTAACTTTGATGCTTTTTGGAAAATTTCAAAAGCAGTTTTTTCCGACGCATTATTTCAGATTGCAAAAAGCTCGCACTATTCGATTCCTTTTGATATTTTACACAAAATGACGCGAGCTTTTTGCAATCTAAAATAATGCGTCGAAAAAAACTGCTTTTGAATTTTTAAAAAATGCATGAAAGTAAATTGAACCTTAAACTCACTTGCTATAAAAAAAATGATTTCCTGAATTTTGAAATCATTAGATGTTATAATGATATTTTGTACTTGTTAGATACAAGAAGAGGTTGAAAGGCAAGTGTTTGACTCATAAAACCTGTCATTTTCGCTACCAGAGTGTTACAATCAGTGATCTTATGATTCGTGAGCGTTCACTCAGAGTGAGCGCTTGCGAGACGTAAAATTGCTGGTTGTGACTATCTTAAAGCAAATTTGACAGGTTTCATGTGTCAAACACTTGCCTTTCAACCTCTTCTTGTATCTAACAAGTAAAAAATATGATTATTACATCGAATGATTTCAAAATTCAGAAAATAATGTGTTTATGCCAAGTGAGTGGAAGCAAGCCTGGCTACTAGACACTACTCTGCTAACTCTTACTATAGGTAAAATTTGCTCCCGCTACCTCATTTCTGTTTCATTTTATCGCCAAAAAACTGTTCGTCGTATGTGCCAACTGACCAAAACATAGCTCAATTTTACATACGACACCTAACTTCTATGGGGGTGTCAATCGTCGTATGTAACAAATCTGACAGAAGCATAAAAACTGTTTTTTCATAATAAAAGTGCAAATTTTGCAAATATTCAATGTTAAACGGTTATGGGTGGTCTATAAAAAGATAACTACGTTTTTTGTGAGTAATTACTCATAATAATACATTTTTAAACCGCTAAAAAGCGCACGGTCCAATGTAAAAACACGGCATGCAAAAGGTCGTATAATATTGATTGGTTAAAAAAAGTTTGATTTTCAACAGAAACACTCCTGAGATGTTAGTTAATGGGAATTTTGGAAGAATTATCCTTCTCATTGAAAATAGAAACAATTTTTTGTTCACCAAAACAAAACAAAACAAAACAAAAAGGACTTCAGAAATATTATCTATGCGTTGATATTCTTAACAATAATTTGATAACATTGTTTCCCCACCTCATTTTTTAATAAGTTACGATTAAAATGTAAACAAAATCTTAGCTCAAACACCTCTGCTAGCATCTCAATAATCTTCTTTAAGCATGGCATTTATAAAGGCCAAAAACACACATTTTCGTATAAACCATTTTTATACTAAGCGTGTACCAAGCTCAGGAAAGGTCAGGGAAGTTGTTATTTAGCGTAACATCTAATCTATTTAGATTTGAAAATCTTTTGAGTGTATATTAATCTTACAATAAATAAACTTATTGCGAATTGGTCCCCATTTCCCCTATATTAATATGTTAACTTATTATGCCACCTTAGGTTGAGGTTCGCATTGACAAAAAGTTAGGTTTTGCACGGGGTTGGAGCTGATTCCAACCTCGATTAAAAAAACTAATTCGCTTTTAATAAACTAAAAATCACAAAAAACGCTAAAAATTAAAGAATTATTGGTTTGGTAATAAAATTGGAAACTCCTTGAAGCAAACGGCCATTCTACTTTCAAATAAAAATTGTAGATAGGTATATACATATAGGGGAAATGGATGTAATGTCGATCTAAATGCCCCTAATTTGAGCCCATACATAAATTCAGCAATCGACTAAATTTTCAATAGCGACCAAAAATATCCATTAGTACCGTCCCAATGACGCATTTATCTAGATAAAATTGATAAATATCAGATTTCTAGCGATGGGCCCAATCTTAGATCCATTTTCCCTATAGGTTTTGAATATAATTCCGTCCCTCTGTTCGTCGATATGCAGCCCTAAAATTGCGTGCTTCTAAGCAATTTTCCAACGAGAACTCCCCAGATTATAACGGCTACTCATGCGAACTAAAAAATCTATTCATGACTGATAACTGCTAGGCACATCTGATCAATCTTGATAGACAAGTCGGTTGCGTATCTGTATCATCAATTACTAGATTAATAAATTCAATTACCGACATCGTTGCCAAAAATCGACCTCCATTCCAGTATGCGTTATTTACGTTGAAAAAAAACAATGAGAATCAGCAACAGCTGCTTACTTTTATTTGTATTGAAACTTTCACGAACAAGACGTAGGCCGGAAAGCGTCAAATTCAATCCAAAGAAACCATTGGGTAGCATTCATGTAGAAGTTATATGAATTGCTGCAAGCGACTTGCAATGCAACGAAACCAAGTGCATTCGAGCAGCTTAGCTCGCTTGGATAGAGCAAACGAAGGAGAAAAAGAAGAAAATTCCGTCATAGTAACCGCAGCAGACTAGCTACTGGTGGTATGGGAAGAGCCTGGGATGGCGAAATTGATATTCCGATATTGACCTACACTTACCAAAAGGACGATTTGGGACGGGAATCGCTTCCGAATGGCCGAAAAGAACTGAGAATGATGAAATTTGGAACAGTAGACTATTCATTTTCACTTTTTATGCACCATTTGTTCGCTTTGTTTCTAAATCCAAACTTGACACCTTATTCCCCGTTTTCGATTTTTACATTCTTACAAGACAAGAACACCTAGCTCCACTGGGGAAACTCTTATTGTTTTACACTTGACGCAATATACCGATTTGTATCCATTAGAATTCATATGGACACTCAATTCTGACCACTACGCACTTGTAACTAAAATAGGATCAGTTATTTGAATATTTTTTTAAATTTTCTACACTTCAAAGCATTTTCAAAGTAAAACCTTCCATTGACCATTTTGCACGAAAAGCCTTCAAATTTTACGAACGAATAAAAAAAAACATTTGACAGCTGCTTTTAGAAAAAGTGAACGTTCGAATGAACCTTCCAGGAGTAAAAAATAATATGCGCAGGGTACATCAGCCACAAATGGATGAACTATTCACGCTTGTTTGAATTCCATTTAAAGTTTCACAATTGAGTAGAAAACAACCAAGTTTCGTAAAAAGAGGACTACCCTAATTACCAAACACACACGTGAAAACCCCATTAATGGGTAAAAATACCCATTTTCAAACCATGTATGCAGCTGTCAAAAATGGGGGAATTTTGATATCATTTTGGTATCATGAAATGTTAGTTTCCTTTTTTGCAGTTTACAGTTCATGTGAAACGAAATCGATATCAGTTTACACCTCCGGTGAAGTGAAAATCTGACAGATACGCTCTTTCTCGAAACGTCAACTTTTCGCTTAGCTGCTCTTTTCGCGAGCGCTGCATGCGTGAGGGGCTGTTCATAAACTACGTAGACAGTTTAGGGGGGGGGGGGTTGACAATTATCCGTGGCCCATACAAATTTAAAAACATTTGTATGGACAATTGTCTACGCATGGGGAGGGGGGGGGGGGTCAAGAATCCCAAAAAACTGTCTACGTAGTTTATGAACAGGCCCTGAAAAAAGTACACGTAAACGAAAAAGATGCGATCCACAAAATTCGATTTCGCTGTCACCGATTCATTGGGAATGCAATCAGTTAATGTCAGTTAACCTTTTTAGCAAAAATAGACGATCTCAGGAAAAGGTTACAATCCGGAACGTTGGAGAGAATTACGGATGAGTTAATACAATTTCGTGTAATACAATTTGATCGATTATTATGATATGATTATTTTCAATGTATTAGTTAGTTTTTTATATCAACGAGAACAAACAACCAATACAACCGCTTGTATCCTCCTTTTGAAAAAAATGGTTTTTTTTACCCATTTAATGGTAAACACAATTTAAGAAAATGGGTAAAAAAAACACCCATTTATTGGCAGACCACCCATTTACCCAATAATTAGTAAACCATAGTTTACCGGTTGAATGAGGAGGGGCACTTTTAGCGGGAATGGGTGTTTTTACACTCATTAATGGGATTTTGCGAAACACCGTGAGAGTAACTATGGTTATTCTTAAAGAGCTGTCAAAATTGGAACAATCGATTGTCTGTCAAAGTCATATGAAAAGTCATTCCAATCGAGCAGAAGATCTGTCAAATGGATAAGATGTCGTCTCTTTATAAATTCCGGCTCTTTATAGTACGTTCAGACTACAGAGTTATAATATGTTATAGCGCACGCTAAGATCAGATAACCCAAATATAGGTTTACTTTACCCAAATCAGGCGTAAACTGCACGAACTCAGATATAGGTAAATTTTTTAACCCAAATATGGGTAAATTTAAATCGAATTTGCATAAAAATAAATCATTTATGGTTCACAAGAACCCATATTTGGGTTAAAAAAATTTACCCATATGTGAGTTTGTGCAATTTACGGCCAATCTCGGTAATCTCTTTGTACCGTCTAGGTAAACTGATCTTAGCGTGCGCTATCTTGATGGTGGTTTCTGTGTTGCAATTATTTGACAACCGTTATAACATGTTATAACTCTTTAGTCTGAACAAGGCATTAAACGCTGTACAGACTGGAGAGTTATAACATGTTATAACGGTTGTCAAATAATTGCAACACAGAAACCACCATCAAGGTAGCACTATAACATGTTATAACTCTGTAGTCTGATAGTACGTTCAGACTGGAGAGTTATAACATGTTATAACGGTTGTCAACTAATTGCAACACAGAAACCACCATCAAGATAGCGCTATAACATGTTATAACTCTGTAGTCTGAACAAGGCATGAACCTCGGTCTGAACGTACTATTATAGTACGTTCAGACTACAGAGTTATAACATGTTATAGCGCTATCTTGATGGTGGTTTCTGTGTTGCAATTATTTGACAACCGTTATAACATGTTATAACTCTCCAGTCTGGACAGCGTTTTAGTGTTGCTATTAGTTATTCTCTTTGAGTAACGTACACTCAAAAATATACTCAACAAAGATAGATTAAAATTTGATCCATTTTCGGTTACGTATAACTTTATACACACCAAATTTAAATCGCTGAAAATCAGCAAAATTTTGCTGATTTTAGACTTGATGAAAGATCGATCAGCAAACGTTTCAACAAAATAATACTGCTGAATTTTTCAGCATTTTCCAACTTCTGTCAAAATGACAACCTTTTACTGAAAGTCAGCAATATTTCTTTACTAATCTCTTTCAGAAATTCAAAATTATGACATTTGGCAGCATTTTGCTGATTAAACTATTAAATTCAGTAAATTGAATTTGTTTTCACTAAATGAGCTTCCAGTTTCTGTAAAAGATCGTTGATACAAATATACGAATAATAAAGATAAAATCGCCAGACTCTTTTCCAAGCATCATTTATTAAATATAACCAGTGTCCAAGCCAGTGTCTTTACCTAAATAATTCCGATGGAAAATATCCACTACAATTTCACATAGCTTTCATGTGATCTCATAATTGGGAATCGCACCACGAAATCACATGAACCTTATGTGTCCAATGAAGTTTATGTGATTTATCACATAGAATTTATGTGATCAAATTATTATTATTATTATTATAGTCCCTTTAACGCTTTTGGGTCATTCGTGACTTGTCCGGGGGTGAGATTTGAACTCGTGACTTTGGCGTGAGAGGTAACCACTATGCCGGGGTCGCCCCCATGTGATCAAATGAATGTTATGTGAATTTCAGATAAAATTCATTAATTTTGTAATTGGAAAAATATCACGTGCGTTCCCAATGGAAACTATATGAAAACTTTTTTCAGTGTACGAATGCAAAAATACTTGCGACTGTGATGCTAATAGTTTGACAGCTCTTTGACTGGGTGTAAGTTTATGTTGGCTGATTTTTTCGGTAAAAATATCGTTTGCTGTTTTTCAGTAAAGCATTGGATTGCTGATCATGATCCAGTAATTCGTTTTAATAATGATAATGAAAACTTAAATTTGGTGTGGGAACTTCGTGAAATATCGCGATATTTTCCAACGCTGAGCGTAACTTTTAATCTATTTAGATTTGAATATTTTTTGAGTGTAGAAAATTTAAAAAATTGTTTTTATGTGTCCTACACTGAACCTAGAAATCATGTTAAATTTATCTGAAAACACACATAATTATTTTCCATGTAGCTTTTCACATAACTTCTATGTGCAAATCACATAAACATTCAAGAGATGATTTTGTTAACATTCATTGGAACAATCACATACATCTTATGTGAAATACCCATGAGAGTTATTGGTTTTTGTTAATAAATTTAATGTGAAATACCAATGAGAATTATTAGTTTCGATCATAAATTTCATGTGCTTTTTTAATATTTTTTAGATGAATTCATTTTAAGGTTGTATGTATTATTGTAATTTCAGTTAAATAATCAAACAATTAAAATAATGTTTCAAATTATTTATTTAACATAGCTTTGCTACTATTTGTTTCATAAAAAATAATTACAATCGTCTGTATTAAAATTAGGTTTTAAGCGAAAGTAAAACTGCCCAACTAACAATTTTCGCAATGTAAACGCTTTACTCATTTCATTTATACAGCCTCAAGCTGTATTCAAATGTTATACGATATGAGGAAACCTTTTACTCAACCTCTATACAAGCAAATCTGGCGAACTTAGTCAGCTACTTCTAGTTGTTGTGACGGTTGGAACAAGCTCTTATTGCATATCTATTTACGCTTGTATACAGCTGTTATCTTGCTGTTTAGTTGTGTGTGAACTTGAAAGGCGTTTACTCAACCTTTACCCGATTATGCAATAATCACTACACAGCTTGCTCTTGAAGCCAAGTTAAATATTATCAACGCTTTTTGTTTTGGAGGAATTGATTGAGTTTATTTTGCTGCGAGAATCAAATTATTCGAAATTAGTTATAAGCACACCACCAAATTATTTACCCTGCACCGGAGAACCTGGAATCGAACTCGAGACGACCGTATTTGGCAAACCTTGACACTAACATCTTCGCTACGCCCGTTGAACTGAGGTAAACAAATATACATGACTTTCTACAATAATACCGTTGAGTAGAGGCTGTCTAATAGTGCACATGAATCACTTTTCTCGACTAGTTACTTCAGCTTTGTAAAGGAGCAGAGTAAAAGCTGTAGAACTGCACACGTCTAAAAATAAACCTAATTGACTGTAAAAATGCTTCCAAAGTATCACTAACACAGTTAATTAGCAGAGTACAGATTGTTTAGTTGTTGAAAAAGCACTTTTGATGTTTATGTTATTCAGCAAGAGTGGTTGGTTGTGTAGAAGCCATCAAATGAGTAATATATTCACTTTGTTAGCTTTGTTTTGCAGCTACAAGTTGAAAGTTGATTAGTGTGTGTATAGAAGTGACATTAGCGTTTATTAGCTGATGTTATTCAGTGCGACTGACAAATTGAATAATGGTTGTGAGAAAGTTGAGAAAACGTTCTCCAAAACTACTTTGCTAGCTTCTGCTTGTAGCTGTATCTGCAGCTTTGTTTCAGCTAATTTACAGCACAATGCTAGAAAAGTTGGCTTATAAAGCTGAAAATGTTAGTTGGGTGGTCTCCTATTCTATGAACCATAATTGGCGGAAGCGTCGATATGAATAATTTCAACTTGAGGTATCGCTTCGATTTCTGTAAAAGCCATGTAATGGTCGTCAAAGATCCCTGATTGCCATGTTTTAGCTACAAAAAGTATTCTTCATTTTCCTGAATAATGTCTAGTATTTGAAACAAACATAAGTCAGTGCTTTTAACCAGCGTTACAAAGTTTCCAGCTTTATAACTTGTACATTTATATGTTATTTTACTAGATATAGCAACGTCAAACCCTTTTTTAATCACCATAGGTTTAGTAATATTGTCATAGTAATTGCACAAACGAATATCACTGATAACAA